GTAACATAGAGACTCAATAAAACGATAGTAAAACCAAGAAAATTGAACGTCACAGACTTAATTAGCATAAAACTGTTAACAGCATATACAAATAAAGAAAACGTAAGGAAGAAATCACAAGTGTATGCATGGAGGGATTTTCACTTGCAAAATGGATCCAACAGATAGAATGCCTCGTTTGTAATATGGCTGTGGTGTGTTGTAACAACAACAACAACTAAACTATAGGCAATAGATGATCATGTACATCTGGTTAGACTTCTTCGTATATGACAGAATAAATACATCCTTCAGATACTGGTCAGTGGCTCAATTTCGCACATCAATATATGTGTTGATTTAGTTACGATTGGATTTGAAGAATATCCAGGAAACAACTTAGTTGTTCATACAAAATAGAGGATATGAGAATGTATATAAAATTGAGTGGAGATATCAAGAGTGAGGAGTTTGTTTAAAAGCCGACTGACACAACCAAATAGTCAACTTCGCATCACCCAATCATTATTTAATGATGGTCAAATGCAACCTTACTCTTTGATACTGTGATAGTGTGCACTCATAATGACTTCTTTCACATTTGTAACAAGGTGAAACCTGCCTCACAAAACAGCAGTTTGCACACCATACAATACCGTGGTGTTTATATGAACCAATGATTCATTTGTACTTGATGAGTGCTTGATTTCGAATTTCAAATACAGTACATTCGTTCGCGTTCATCTATTACTTCTTGATTAAACTGAGTTATTTCTGGGATTCCTAGTTTATACTATAATTCAAATGCTCCTAATTATCACATTGGCGTCGTGATGGAGCCTGTGTTGCAACGTTGGACATAAATTTAGATTTTGATGATTTCGGGGATTACATGGTAAGGTTAGAAATCTGGACTGTGATCAAAGAAGATGATGATGATTTCAATATTGTGGCTCATATCCTTACATTCATGGCAAAAGAAGCACACAGTTCAATAAAAACTTCGGCATTTCCAGACAAGCCGATTTCAATCTCTTATGCAACTCCCAAGCAACTAATACTGGACCATGTAAAGTATACAAATTTCGAATGAGGTGAACGAGAGTTGATGGGTTTTTTTTAATCCGCTTAGTTACAGCAATATTTAATGCAGGATATTAGAAGAAGAGGTCACTGAAGAGGTGTCTGTGAGTTCTCACACAACCGAGTATCATCCATACAACTTTGACTGAGAACTCAGCAAAATCTGACTGCAGTAAACTGACTTGTATGTAAAGTTAAACAGGTCATTCAGAAGTGGTCCCCTACAAATAAGTGAAAGTGCGTTCCTGTAGATTGTCCGATCAACTGAATCAGTTTGTGTGAGTGGTGTGATTGAGTGACAGCCATACACAGAATCTCAACTGTCGACTCAATGCTCTCAATGAACAGACATCAAAATGCAGAGTAACTTGTCAACAAAATTGGATCTTATCGTACAGTAAAGCACACTCTCGTAAACGAAATCATTGACACAAATTAGACATGATTAAAATTCAAAGTCAGAACGTTGATGAGTGAAGATTTCAAATTTTGTAGATCACTCACTGACCAACAGAGTGGAGGTGTAAAATATCAGTCTCACTTGTTATGACTTCAAATGCATTAAACCACTGACTATGTTACACCTACATAATCGGATACTTGTCAACACCTATATTGATAGTTTTGTGAAATCGATGGAAATCGGTGGATTCAAAGAGTCACCTGACAATGATCAAGTGACAGTGGTTAACAATGTTGTTCATATAAAATCGACAAAACAACACTACAATCACATGACTGCACTCTGACGTGATCAACATACATAGTTCGTTTTAACTGGAATGCTAAGCAGTACATCATCACAATACATGACGTTTGATTTACATCACTGTCAACAGTAATCGCTCATTTGACTACCGTGAAAATTAAATTAAACTACAACAAAAACGGATAATATATGAGTTTCTAATAATATTGTTACTATTTTTATCAGTCAAATGTTTTTTAATGCATGTCTAAAATTTAATATAATATAACATATATAGATATTCTGAAAATAGTAACTACAGTATTCAAGCCAGTTTACAGGCATGGCCAATCTGATATAAATAGTAACATTAGATGTAGAGAACGAACATGTGATATAGTATTGTCTTAAGTTTGTTAAATCAATAGTTATTTAGATAGTGCATTTATGACATGTATTACAGCATTCCAGTGCATCAGCAAGGAGTTTTAAATGTTTTCTTTAGTGAATAGCCTGTTGATCTGTGAACAATGTTATTTAAGGTTATTTACTGTGCCGGGACGAATTATTGATAATTATCTGCAACTAGAGAAAGTAAAATGAAGACAGAGAGCACGAAGCAACAAAACATTGATTACCAAAATATGTCGGTCATGTTTACCACTGATCATGTTAGATACTATTCAAATAAGTTAAGGTTGCTAGGGTCAGTGTTAGCGTAAAGTGACACCAGGTAAGTGGCTAAACATTTAAAGTTCCTATAATCTCACTTGGGGAGTAAGATGCACTTACAGGCGCTAGAACATTTAATGCATTTTCAGAGAAGCAGTAAGTATCAGTGGAACGAACAAATAATGGGAGAGATTTTATCGTACGGATAGTTTGAGGTAGATTATTCCAGAGTCTGTAAAATATACGGGTAAAGTAATTCACATAGAGAGGTGAGTTAGAATGTGTTTGTTTTGCTAATGACAAGCAGTTACGTACGTCGGAATCAGAAGTTTCTGAATATTGAATCGCCTAGTTGGATGTGATGGATATTTTGTTAAATATTTTGAAGAAGAAGATAAGATTTAGTTTGAGTCTCCTCTTCCATAAAGCGTAGCGCCCAAGTTTAATACACCTAGAATTATATGTCAAGGCACAACCAGTTCCAAGAGTACGAAGTGTAAATCGTCTCTGTACTGATTTCAGCCTTAATTTATCCTTTATGCGCGCGCTACTAAGAATAAACGCGCAGTATTCTAGGAGTAGTCGAACACAAACTTTGCACATTAAAACAAGTGATTCATTGTTCAAAAGGTTTCGATTTATGTAACCTATATCTGTTTTGTAAACGACATGTCGTAGGAGTACCTAAGTCTACTACTACTACTGTATGTAACCTAGATAACACTTCACCATTTTTGGTAAGATATAAGTTGAATGATGTATCACCGAAATATATCCATCCATATTTAGCTGTATTAAGCTCCAGCTGCCACTTTCAGCACCACTGTGTTACCTTGTTAGGCACCGTGCTGATGCAATTTTGAATATTATTCGGCTCATGTGGAGAAAAAGAATACACTACTTTAAGATTATCTGCGTACAGAAAAGGGCTTACCCACACAAAAACACTTAGAAATATCATTAATAAACACCAAAAAGGGCAAAGAACCTAAGACACTAACTTGTATTAAGCCACTTCTAACAAGGATAGTGTTCGACAATAAAGAGTTGATTTTAATTAATTAATGTCCGTTGCTGAGGAAGAAATCAAAAACAACCAAGCAGTTTTTTGGACAACGTAAGATGCGAGTTTACTATGAGATGTTGATGGTTAACCATGTTAAAGGCTTAAGAAATTTCCAGGTATAGCACTTATACTAGATATCCTTAACTGCTTATAGAATAGACTAAATGAAAGCAGTCAAAATGACTTGTCATACAAGATTGATTTTCAAGAAATCCATGTTGTGCAGCATTGAAAAATATTTCAGTGAGTAAATAGTTGGATTGTTCGTCACTAAACTTTTTTTTCCATAATCCTAGAGATAACTGGAGTAATATTTATGGGCCAATAATTGTTCATGTCAGTCTAATCTCAAGATTTGTGACGCGGAATGATCTACACGGTTTACCAAAAGTTCAAATGCTTCAAATACTTGTGGACGGAATAGAAGAAGCTTTCACTTATCGAGATTCCGCATCCAATAGCAGTGGATCACCAATACTTCCAGGAAGGAACTGTAAATCCTGACAGCGAACTTTCGACCGTACCAAGCAGATGAACACCTCAGGTTAACTTATAAAGATTAGGAAGCTAAATGTTGAGAGTCGGAACATAATTCACTCTACTTTATTTCGAACAGTAACAAGTTAATGCGAATGGGATTTACACTGAAGCTGTGATGGTCAGTGTCAAGTTGAATTAATGAATCAAGAACTATTTCCTGTTCATCAACATCGCCAGCATCATTTATTTCTAATGAAGTGTAAGAATGGTTCTGTTTACCACTGCAGACGTTAATACAACGATGTTCACGGATAATAAAACAACAATCATATGTTATTTCACGATTTGAATATCAACAAATTAGACCATCAATTCGAATATCGCTTCACATAATCCTGTCTGAGTGTAGTCAGTTGAAGTCTACACCACATAAGCCGCCTCCTGGTCATACGTCGAACACGAAAATATGTCACCTGAATTCAGATCGAACAAGTGACCTGCATCACAGTGTTGAATTAACCTAACAACTCAAAATCACACACGATTGTGTCATTTTCACGATAAAACTACTTCGTGGTATTCGCAATCTCTTGAACCGGTCAGGCACACAGGTTATTAAAATCAAGCAGTCAGGACTCTGTAAAACCCAACGAACATCAATGACTTCACATAGATGTGAAACACTACAGATCACAGTGGACACTCGAATAAATATAAGAATATATCAGAATGAATGTGAGATGTTGTTTATATGGGAAATAATTTCACACTACAGATTCATGTGTACAACAGCATACAGATGTCTAGTCACATAATACGATCACGGTGATCAATGAAGAACGATGTAAAGTCTACTTTTGATTAACCTTGATCCCATGTTGACCACGTTTCCAGTTCACCGGACACACTTCACCATGCTTCTCCACAAATTGGAACGCGTCCAGTAGTCGTAATGTTTCATCTACAGATCGTCCAACTGGCTTGTCATTGATCGTGATTTGACGTAGAATTCCATTCGGATCAATGATGAATAAACCTCTGAAAAGGAAGGAACAATGAGGACAATAGTAAGTAGGAGTATAGATGAACGCGTATCTCTGTGTAAGTCGATAACTAATGCTCTCGATGAAATAAGTGGTGATTCAAGTGCCTAGATTCGGTTGTCGTAATGAGCGTTGGGTTCTACTCGTCAGAAAGTTCATGAAGAACCAGAGCTTCTGTAATGCCCCAAAAACACGTTTCGCTGTGTCCAATCTAAAAACACATCGACTGATTATATATTCGAGAATACGGATCGAATGAGGATCTGGTTTAGTAAACATCCACTTGTCATCACATGAACAATATGTTAAAATGCAACAAACAGTAAAACAGTGTAACCTATCAGAGAACATAAAATATCCTTGACTATACATAGACGTAGACACTGAGAAACCAGTAAAATACTAAACTGAAACGTTGTTTGACGAAGATGCTTGCAGCCTGTCACAATTATTCCAGTCTCCTACTCAAACGGGAAACTAAACACATTTCGTCCCACATGTTTGTCAATCTGATTCTCAAAAGAGATGAGCGACATTGCAGCGAATTCAAGACAACAAATCGCACGAAAATAAACACAACACTCACCTGAATGCATTACCATCCTCTTCATCGAATACACCATATGCTTTGGAAATCTCCTGTTTACGGTCAGCCAACAGAGGAATTTTCATATGACCCAATCCACCCAATTTACGATCCAAATTGTCCCATGCAAGATGACTGTATTGAGAATCTGTAGAACAGGCGATCACTTGACAATTTCGACTGTTAAACTCCTCCACCTGATCACTGAACGCGATGATTTCGGTGGGACACACGAATGTGCTGTAGAAGAATGATGAAGATAAGAATCACTGCAATAGTGAAACAACATGCACTACATACACGTATTCAGACTATGCATACTGGTTGAATAGTGAGCAACTTGAATATGTAATGCGATATGTAGCGATTCAACAAATAATTCAATAGTCACTCAGTCAGTTCGTTAGTTAGACACATGCGTGTCAGTTCAACCACATTGAATAAGTCCTCATCATACGTTATCAAGTGAACGACACATCTGTTCATCATCGGTTAGTCACTCAGTTCCGATTTTGAGTTTCACACTGCTAACTAAGAACTTATCTCAGGAGAATACTGCACTTTGTGAAATATGGTAACACACATTTACTATGACATCTAAAGGAGGAAGTCGCTTAGATGTTCAAAACAGTTAAGGGATCAATAATCAATATCAGAATCTAGTTTGCATAAATAAACTGCAGTCAAAACGGAGATTGCCACTGTAATTCGTGATCAATTTCCTCGACATTTTATTTCAATCCACAATGGGCATTGAGAGTGCACATCACTGTGGAGAGGATTCCTCACAGAAACTCGTTATCAATTTCGTCTATTCGTCAGCACACTCACGTCTATTATGGCCATCTTCCTACCAAGTCCACTCTCAACAAATAAATAATCGCATCAGTGAAAATACACTCGTCAGCAGTGTTCATTATCAAAACTCAGATAAGTGAAGCCAAATGAATGATTAGCCATAACACGGTTCAAATACTCCCGATGAGTATATCAACACATTTGAGACCATATGAGAACAGATATTCGCAGTCAGTGAACATAATATAATCATTCACTAAATATATCCACCCAAATTGCAAAGTCGAATCAAGACAAACAACATCCACACTCGAAAATATTGTCAGAAACAAGAAGATCAATAAATCGTCTGATCTCTATAAAAGATTATTTTAGAATATCTAGAAACTCCGACGAGTCGAAAATCGCATACACAGGTCCAACACATTATAAGAACAGACGGTAACAACAAATATGCATTTATTCAACCAGTGGAACAAATTCGGTTATTAAGAATATGTAATCGGTTTGAATGGAATGGGTGAGTGAATTTATGCAATCGAATACTATGCAACTACCACACAACAAACATGCACAATTACAACTTACAAATCAGCTGGATAGAAGAATAATACAACATATTTTCCTCGATAATCCTTCAAACAGATCTCTTTGAATTCACCATTAATCACAGCCTGTCCTTTGAATTCTGGTGCAGGTCTATTAGGCAACAATACCATGGTCAGTGATTACCAAACTCAAAGTGAATTGTCTGTCTCTCCAATCATGTTTCCATGTTTATATACATTTCGAGTAACACAACAACCTTGAACATAATTGGTTCTAATTTTCACTGTGAGTCGATTGTGTTGATTTAGTGGAGTCAAATATCAATCACATTACAGCATGTTTCGTCATCTCTCTTGTAACACACGTAGCCACTGGTTGATCAGTTCACATTAGAATCAACACGTCCATTCACACAATATTTGCATACACGTAACGAATGGATTTCATATTCACTGACTATGATTCAGTGAGTGCAAACTATTTGAAACGAAATACAAGTAAATTATTGTGTCACAACCATTGAGTGCAATCACATGTTGTTTGGTTAAAGATCAATTGCAAAACGTAAACAAAGAAAAGAACTGAATGAGAATGACACGTGATTGAGTAATTGAGGAAAATATTGACAATTCATTTAATGATCTGACTACACACTACTCACAAACTCTTCAATGCATATCACTAAGGTCCGATTAATTGATGGCAATTTCACACTCATTTCAGTCAACATCAAAGACATTCAAAACACAACTTCTTAGAGAATTCCACAAATCAGATATTGATAAGGCGTCTCACGATGTGGCTGAAAAAAATAAAATTTTCCAAACCACTCGGTTAAAAACAGAGAACGGAATTTGCGAGATGCATATATTGAGAAAGATCAAAAGATACCAAAATAAAAAAAACTATTAGCGATATCAGAGTTAACCTTTGGAAAATTTAAGAAGTGAATCACTTCATGGGAATTCTGTATATCTGCACAACACAAATATACATAACCGTATATCATAATTACCTAAACGCACTCTCTGTAATATAATGTAGATTGATTTTGTTGTATCCCCTGGCGAATTATGAATCATAAATCTGATGTCCATTTATGGACAAATGTAATACGCCTATTCCTATTGGATAGTTGTTAAATGAGTAACCTAAATCTGATGTCTATTTATGGACAAATACAATATGCCCATTCCCTATTGGATAGTTGTTAAATAAGTGACCTAATCGTTTCCGTGTTCCTCTTATCACAACCTTTGTTTTGACCTTGGAACTATTATTATTGATTATTTTCCCTCTAGCTACAGCCACATTGGCCAATTACTGTACAAATGTTATTTTTCTATTTTTTGGTATAATTGGGTCTGTTTGATTAGTATATATAACCCAGTGTGCTTGTGAATAATGATTCATATTTCCGAGGCTGTTATTTGTGTTCTGGACTTAACGGGCTGGGCTAGGCAGATAGGAAGGACCGAATAGCACCCAAGACTGCTCGTACGTATTTTCTGTATCATTGCACGTTTCATATACAATAACGAATTGTTATACGAGTCATAACAAATTGGCGACGGGGATTCTGGAAAAAAATACAGCAGCCGCTGACGTCATTTCGGAATTAAATAATCCATAATAATTGCCGGTGTTTTTTTGGATTATTATTATTATTTGCATAAAAAAATATGGCTTTAACTTGCGACCAATTTCAGTTGCTAATCCAGCGACAAGAGCAGTGCTTCAAAAAGAGTCAATTGGATTTCATTGACAAATTACACGCGAAGCTGCTGAATCACCCATGCTTTGGGGGTGAAACGGAAGTTGACGCAATAATTTCAAAATTGCGTACAGAGCTGGAAAACAATTACAGAACTAATGAATATGCCGGCGAAAGCCTCAATGAATCCATACAAAGCAATAATTTAAGCGTAGCAGTTATACATGATCAGCCCAGTATCCCAGTACTACCTGTTTCAGAGACATTCCCTGTACACGGTCCAAGTCTTATTAATCCCGAAATTGGACGTACAAACAATGAATTATCCTATTCACAGAAAGTAAATGTCTTGCAAAATGCTCATGAAATTGCTGCAGTACCCGCCCACGAAGAAACGGGAAACAAATCGAGCAGTGTATTGAATACAGAGGCGCCAAATGAAATTAATCGTGATACGAAAAATGTTTCTAATGATCAAAATTCTGTAATTGTTCTACCAGATTTAGATTATTTTGATGATTCATATGTTTCTGTTGAATTCTCTTATAAAAATGAGAGAAAAATGTCAGATGTATTTAATGATAATCAAGAATCTAATACAACTCTCATAGATACTGATTATCCTAATGATTCATTATCTACTAATGAGGTTCCGAGGAAATTCAAGAAAACTATTTCAGAAGAATCAAATGTTGGTGACCTCGAATCAAATGTCGTCGATCCTCATGATCTCGTCAGTTCTAATGCATTCCCTGTTAAATGTGACAAACATATCGCATTAATAGTAACTTGGCTATATGAGGATCCAACAGTCTTTCGTGGGGGAGGGTGAATTCGAGGAAATTAAAAATCCGGATATCAACTCCGGATTTCTCAAAAAGGGGAGGTGTTGTATCCCCTGGCGAATTATGAATCATAAATCTGATGTCCATTTATGGACAAATGTAATACGCCTATTCCTATTGGATAGTTTTTAAATGAGTAACCTAAATCTGATGTCTATTTATGGACAAATACAATATGCCCATTCCCTATTGGATAGTTGTTAAATAAGTGACCTAATCGTTTCCGTGTTCCTCTTATCACAACCTTTGTTTTGACCTTGGAACTATTATTATTGATTATTTTCCCTCTAGCTACAGCCACATTGGCCAATTACTGTACAAATGTTATTTTTCTATTTTTTGGTATAATTGGGTCTGTTTGATTAGTATATATAACCCAGTGTGCTTGTGAATAATGATTCATATTTCCGAGGCTGTTATTTGTGTTCTGGACTTAACGGGCTGGGCTAGGCAGATAGGAAGGACCGAATGGCACCCAAGACTGCTCGTACGTATTTTCTGTATCATTGCACGTTTCATATACAATAACGATTGTTATACGCTCATAACAGATTTTAACGTGGAATTTCGTCAAAGGTATTTTCAATGTAAATTACGACAAACATTTAGGACAATCCATGTGGATTGTTCGATTTATTTCGTTGTCATTTACTTGTCTGCCTGACTGTTCGTCTATTTGTTTGCTTGTTCGCTTGTTTGTCGACTGATGATTGCTGAATCCCTACCTCTTTCATTCTGTGCACAGCTCACACCGGTCTCGCAACCAACACCAAATTCAATCGTCACATAAAATACACAATCTCGTTATCAATTCTCCGTTTCACACTGTTTCGTGAAACATGGATCAGTAGAATGTGCGTGACTAGACAATGTGAGGAGGTTTCACACTGATTCATTTTCAGCGTCACAACAGGATAACGTATCTCCACCATAATGTACTCGTTCAATCAACCGGTTTCTAGAGCTCTTCTTCTCTTCAGTTCGTCCATTTCCTGAAACACATGCACACAAATATGACTGGGAGGAAATCGTTCCGACCGTTCATTCGACATCAACAATCTATATAAACCAACTTCGTGTGAAATGTGAAGCCTCCGTTCCACACTTTTGGTGCACATGAAACCAATCATGTCAAACTGGTCTAATAAACACTCACATCAAATAGCATGAATAGATGAGTGTCAAAAATCTGTCGTTCGTCACATCTCATGATGGGTAGGTTGACCTGTTTGTTATCTCTGTGACCGTCCACAATGTAATCATGGACTGCCACACAATTTTGATCAAAACAAATACAATTTAAATATTGTGTTATCCATAATTCGATATTGTCAATTGTCAACACAATTTCAACACACAATCTTTTAAGGGCACTTATTCTCAAATCTGCACAATCGACTGCTTCATTTGCTTTAATCGTATACATTTAAATCGATCAGACAATTTCCCACCTACCAACCAAACACTACATATTACCAATTTCCATACAAATTAGATTCAGTGTGATACCGACTTCCATGTGAACATCGTTTCAATGTCATGATTGTTCAACATCATATACAATACGCATCTTCCATTTAGACAATACCATCATCATACAACAAATACGTCTAACCACCATTAAAAGTTATTGATTTTTAAGAGCAAATCAAAACAAACAACACACACTCAATAATATCAACTGACCGTAATTAATTAGCAATTAATACAATCACCTCATCATCATCATCATCATCATCATCATCATCATCATCATCATCATCATCATCATCATCATCATCATCATCATCATCATCATCATCATCATCATCATCATCATCATCATCATCATCATCATCATCATCATCATCATCATCATCATCATCATCAACATCAACATCCACAGTAACCACTACTGATAAGAATACAAGTAATGTTTTGATTATGAATGTCATAAATATTAACAAATACATCTATTTTATAATCAAACTTTGACATTATATCATGTTTGTGATCTCATGTAGTTTAGGTCATAGAATCTGAATAACATGTAACTACTATTACAATGATTCATTCATCATAGACACTTGACAATATCCATGTAACAAACACAATGTATTTTTTAAATAGAAATCATGGGTAGTTTCGTGTTTGTTTAGCTACTCCATTTATTGACTGAAATCGTTGATAGATCAAAAGCAAAAACATCTTTCAAAGGAAAATCCAGACCAATCACATATATGTATACTCATATGAATAGTTTGCCCAACTATTGTTCATACAAAACTACTTGCACAATATCAGTTCAGTTTCGGCTTAGTCACCCCAAGCTCTCTTCCAGAAAACATTACCTGTCGTAAAAGGCAATGGTTTAACATTTTGAAGAGTATTCTTTCATTCACTAATGTATATAACAACGAAAATCTTTGAAATTTGAACGTGTAGTAGTTTTGTTATTGATTGACGTGTAGAGATTTTCTTTATCACTTATTACAGTAATTTAGTTTTTGGTTTCTTATATAACATGCTCAATAATCTTCTTAAATTAATCACAGAGAAAAGCTTTTAAAGATTTACTGAAACAACAAACAAACGAACACAAGTTATTTTTTATACTTTAATTAAGGATGTG